CCCACCAGAGGGCGGGGCTGGCTGGCATGTGGTGCTGGGGGATTGAATCGCTGTCCCTGGGCTTTGCTAAGCTTGTTCTAAGTAGGTGCTTTAGACCACTGAGCCATCTCACCAGCCCAAAGAGTTTATTATAAACCAGTTTCATAGGCCACAAGGAAATAATAGGACTATGTACAGCCTCACAGGAAACAGGCAGGGAGCAGAGGAGGGTCAAGATGAGTCTAGGGCCTTTAGTGGGTGCATTCCCAGGGGAGAGGACTCTGAGCGAGAGGGCTGCATCCCTGGAGTGGGCATGCCCATAGGAGTCCCTCATCCAGGAGGGATCCCCGCTGGAGGACCCATGGGTGGTCGCATGCCAGGAGGAGGGCCCATCATTCCTAGAGGGGGTGCCCCTCAGCCCATAGGTGGAGGAGGACCCCCACGGCCAGGCGGGTACTGGGTCGGGGCCCTTGCAATACTAGCTGAGGCAGCAGCCACAGCAGTGCCTCTTGCTTGTGGGGTCGTCACCTGTTGGGATGGCCCACCAACCCCCTGGACTGGCCCAGCAAGTCTTGCAGGAGCCTGTGGTATGGGGATGGGCAGAGTCATTTTTCAAGTACAGAGGCTATCTTAGGCCAACTTAGCCACTGCAACATCTGTAAGTAAAAGGAAAAGACTGAGAAAACATTAGTCCAGCTTAAACGTTCATCAGTACAGAACAGTATGTAATAAACAGTGCAGGCATATTATGGAATGCTAAGAAGCTGTCATACCCAGAGGTAACCAATGGAAAGATGTTTCTGATATGTTCCAAATGAGGAAAAGGCTATGTTATAGTAGATACTGTTATAATGGAAAGGGGGTAGGAACAGGAAGCAAAGGGAAGGGAGGGAGGACAGCAGATGCAGCAGTGGGGAGGGGGGAAGAGGGTGCTGGACGTGGACATGTCAGCAGAGGTCTTTTTTTAAAATTAATTTCATTCCATATTCCTCAATAGAGTTTGTATCTTTACGTGCTATACCTTGATTCTTCATTTTTCCTTAGTCCCCTCTCGTCTCCTCAGCCCTCTTCCCCGCCTTACTTAAAAAAGCCTTGTTTCCATTTTTTCTGTCAATTCTATTTCCTCCTTTCCCCTTCTTCCATTCCCCTTCCCCTTCCTATTTGCCCTTCCCATTTGAACATTTTCTTCTGATTTCACAATATCTATTATGCATTTTGAGACTTACACTTTTGGTTTCTAACATCAAAGAAACCATACAGTATATGAACATGAGTGTCTGATTTATTGCACTTGAAACTCTGGTCTCAAGGGGCAGCTATTTACCTAGACATACCTCAAGTTTATCCTCTAGGCAGAGCAGTACTCCACTGTAGAAAAGAACAATATCTTCTGTACCCATTCATTGGTTGAGGGCCTTTTGGGTTGTTTCCAAGATTTAAACATTACAAACTGTCACAATAAACATAGATGTGTATCAACAGCAATGTATAAATGATGTATTAAAATTACTGTGGTATCATCCTTCTAATTCTTTCAGAATGGTACCAAGAAGAGGAATAGTGGAGTCAAATGGAACCTCTAGCTTTAGTTTTGTGAAGAACTTCAACACAGACTTCTGTGGTGGTTGCACTAGTCCACACGCCTACCACAAGCTGAGCAGTGTTACTTTTTTCCCCTTCAGCCTGACTACCACTTGTAATAAGTTGATTTCTCCATAATAGCCATCTTTCTGGAGTGAGACGGAATCTCAGAATGGTTTTAATTTACATCTCATGAATGATCAGTGATGTTGAATGTTTTTCATATATTTATTTGTCATTTCTG